CTCTCTCTCTCTGTCTCGCCCTCTCTTTCTCTCTCTCTTTTCTTCCACAGGGCACAGGGGGTGTGCGAGACCCCCTGGCCTTTAGCGCTCTCCCTCTCTCTCTCCTCCGCCCGCCTTCCGGCCACGCTTTCTCGTGCATTTGCTGTAGGAGCTGCCTTGGGCTGGCCAAAGCCCAGACCTGAAAAACCAACGAAACCACGCGCAAGAGCCGCGGAATCCTTTCGCCGCTTTCGCCTGCGACGCCGTCTGCACCAAGTGCTCCTTCAGCTCCAGGAGACGTCGTTGGCCTCGGGCGGAGCGGGAGCCGCACTCTGCACGTTGCGGCGCTGGGGCCCAGGCTCTGCAACTCTGCCTCTTCCCGCAGCCTCATAGCAGCGGCCCGGGGGGGGGGCTTGTGGGGCCTGTGCAACCGGGGGCCCGCACGACGCATCCGCCACGGCGACCAAGGACTCCCACTTGAGGTGCTCCTCAAGTGCCAGGTGTAAGACTTTAGAGAGAGGAGCTCGGCTTCTTTGTGCTTTGCCAAAGTTCCTCTCCTGGAGGAGCCGCGTGGAGTCCCAGGCTCGACAGGCCTCGGCATGGTGCCGAAGCCCCCGGCATCTGCGCCCCCGGAGCCTCGGAGCCCAGCAGCCGCCCAGGAGATCCATCGCCAAAGCCTCGAGGTCTCGCCCTTCACGACTTCGCGATGCCGAGACGCCGAAACGCCGAGGCCCAGGCAGAGACCAAGGAACCATGGCCGCTTCTGCAGGCTCGAGCCGAGCTGAGAGTTCCGCACACTTCCAAGCTCCATGATTGGGGAGTTCCGACATCCCGCCCCCCTTTTTTCAAACTCGCGACACTGCCGGCTCGAGGCCTGCGCAGCTCGTGGCCCGCACGCGGCTCGCGGGTGCGCGACGCACTCGCCGCGGCATCGCGCTGGTCGGCTCGTGCGGCTTTTCAGTGGCCGGCGAGGTGGTCTTGAATCGTGGAAGAGACGGGGCCGCACAGACGCTGCTGGCACAGGATGGCACAGGGATCGCGGGGAGCTTGGGGCCGTAGCGCAGCGGATGGCAGAGGTCTACTCAAAGCGTCGGAGCACTTCCCCAGGAAAAGCGAGCATCCGTGCGTTCTGGTGCACTTCGGGCCAGGCATCGAGGGGCTCTGGCAGGCTGAAGGGAGGCTTTTGGAGGTCGTAGGACTTGAAGTTCTTCAGGCTCGCGGGCTCCATGGCCGCGAAAGCCGAGGAGCCGCCGAAGCTCTCCAAGTCCTCGTTCTGCGAGTCGGGCCTCTCTGAAAAGCGGCTCAGTGAAGTGGAATAAAATAAAAACCAAAATCAACAAAAACAACAGACAGACTATGTTTTTTGAAGTTCTCTAGAAAAGGGGGCCAAGGGACCAGGAGGAGAGCACCACAAAGGCCGGCTTCGCCTTCCACAAATTCGACAGCAGCCTCCAGGCCTCTGAAAAAGTCTCTGCACGTGCGCACATGTGCACTCAATCACTTCTGTGTTTCTTCTTTGGATGAAGAAGAGCCTCTCTAGAGAGAGGCTCTGGCTCCCTTCTTGCCTTCCATATCCTCCATTTCTCCTAGATCTGCTTTTGTTGTCTCTTGCGACTCTCTTTCTTGGGCGCCGAGCATCCCGGAGATTCAAATGCTGGAAGACCTCGGCAGGGACAGAGGGCTCTGACACCAAGGCAGACGCCGCCTGGAGCATCCTCATTAATGGGGTCTGGACATGGCGCACCATCGCCACGGCATAGCCTTGTGGCAAGGCATCCTCCAGCTTAGGCGCAGAACATGGTCCGGCGTATCAAATCTCACCACAGAACGACCTAACCTGGCCGCTCGCCGAAACATGAAACGAGCTGCAGCAGCAGCAGAACATCCCTTCGCCAATCCGTGCTTTCAACAATTATTGCGAACATGTTCACAGCGATCATAGACTAGACTAACTTGAGAGCCAAGGGCTGGGACGAAAGCTCTAGCGTGAGCAGGGCTGGCGACACGGAGCTCACACGAAGAGACACAGAAATGAATTTCGGTTGCGGTCAAGTTCGCCAAGCTCAAACAACGACACTGACAAATGTCAAGTTTGAGCTTGCTTCTCGCTGCTGCTGCCATTACAGACAAGGGCTTGTAATGTCATCACCGCATGGCTG